CTTTACGACACCACAGGTCTCCAAATATTATGAATTTGTGTCTTGTAGCCAGTATTTAAGAAAACATTCAATATTTATTTCATCTCCAAACCAATCAGACAGGACAGAGTGGCTCATCTTTAGCACAGTATATTTATTATATCTTTGTGGTTACGAAGGTAAAATATCCCCCTCATTTAGTTCACAATAACCTAAAAACCTAGAGGGAGTCGGTTGCCCTCTCAGAAGTTTGTTTCTGGCACCAATGGCTCTGCCAGACTGAATATGGTTCAGACACCGATGACTGGAGTAATTTGACCTATTTTACAACTGCTGCACTTCCCGCTTAGTAAAGCCAGGCCTGTCAGGAGGTGCTGAGTATAGTCATTGTTGCTGAATTAATGGTAGGTTGGTGGTCATGTTTTATATGACCATACAAAGTTTGTTTGCAAATATTGAACAGGAAAGAGACAAAAGTCAATAAAGCAATAGAGATACACCTGTTTTATCATTTATTTCACTCTAGCTTGTCTGCAAGAGCAGTAAAGCACTCATTGATTTTTTCACATCAATAAACATATGCATTATGTGCTTTATGTACAATGTGTAAACCTTGTAAAAAGAACCCAACTTTATAAAAAAACTTCCTGTAACCTAAAGAAACCAATGTAAATCCAATCCAATGCATAATATTTAAGCATTATTTTTTCATATTAGCATGAGTGATTGTTGTGCTGAAAATTGTGTTATATATATTCAGACCAACAGCATGATTGCTTACATGTTATATTGTTTTTTTATAAAACGGTTAGTTCTATTCCTCGATTCTGATTGGTCAGCAGCTGTGTTTTATCAAAGACTATAGAATACCCAAGACGTGTCACTCGTATAGTTTTGAATGGGGAAAAATGCAACGCTCAATATGGCCGCTCTATCGAACGAAGCTTCGCCTTCTGAGCAAAAGAGCCAGTCGCTAATCGGTAAAGTCAGCGTGTCACTGCAGCTGCCGTTAGAAGTTCCGGTTGCTATAGAAACAGTCAGCGTTCTGAGACTTGCGCCTAGGACTGCGCATGTGCACTGGCTGATCTAGTCTGAGAAATAAGCTTTTTATAACGCCATTGAGCAAAATAAACAAAATTTATGACAAAGATTTCTTTGGTGATTTCAAATATGAAATTTAATCGCAAGCTTAGTAAACAGTTTTGGAGAATTTGATGTTTCCCCATTCAAAGAGATAGGAGTTTCACTTGCATGCCCGAGAGGCGTTTCAAAGATGGCCACCGAGTGACATGACTTGCCTTAAAAGGACTTTGGTTTTATTCACGATACAGCACGGCTATGACCGCTTCACCCAAAGGTTCTGTGTATCACTGAGCAACACCCTTAGCAACATAAACAATCAATAATATAGCATTAAAACGGTTCCGTGTATTATGTATTTCAGTAGAATTAACTGTTTGTTATTTATTTAATGAAGTTTATAAAACGGTTAGTTCCATTCCTCAATTCTGATTGGTCAGCAGCGGTGTTTTATTCACGATACAGCACGGCTATGACCTCTTCACCCAACGGTTCTGTGTATCACTGAGCAACACCTTTAGCAACATAAGCAATCAATAATATAGCATCAAAACTGTTTCATTTATTATGTATCTCGGCAGAATTAACTGTTTGTTATTTATTTAATGAAGTATGAGTGACCCCTGCTGGCGTTATGTTGCATCTCTCATCTTTCATTTTGAGACCCCGCCCTTCCCCCGTCTAATAAATGCTTCTCATGCGGAGATATGTGTGCGGCGCGCATCTGTGTGGAAGCCTACAGTTTCCGAAGTGAGGAGGGAATATTACTGTATTTATTAGTTTTCTGTTTCAGGTATGATTCTGTAGCTATGTCCATATGTCCATCAGTTTACACTGTAATGACGCTTGCAAACTCGCTCTGTGCCGCGAATCGGTCTGTTATAAAACTAAAAGACGGGAAACGGACGTTTTCTCATGCTGAGAGATAAGCAGATGTATGTGTGTGAGAAAATATCATATATGGTGTTAAAAAAATAAATGACACAGCAGATGATAAGAGCTCCTATTCTCTTTTTTTAATTTAAGCTCCATTAGATCGGACATCGGAACATTCTCTTGCCGTTTACTGTTGCTGTCAGGAACTATTTTTTAGCGGAAGGACAGCATTTAACGAACTTGCTTCAAAAAAGTAACATTTCAATACATACGTTTTTGGTTTTAATATTTTTTATTGTGTGGTAACCGTTTTATAAAAGCAATAAGGTACTCGAGGCCGTGCTGTATCGTGAATAAATCACGGCTAAAGGGGTTGCAGATTTATTCACGATACAGCACGGCCTCGAGTACCTTATTGCTTACATACTAATAACAGCAACAAAAAAGTTAATATTGAGTAACTTACATTATACATCCAGTAATGCCTTTTATGTTGTAATGTTTTTGAACAAATTGATTGAATGAATGATTCAATGACTCACTCAAAAAGAGTAATTTGTCACAAACCTACTGGCAGAACAATATAACCATTCAATGACAGTTTTCTGAATTCCATTTTAATGGTTTAATTAAATTTTAATAGTCAAAAATAATTTTGAATTAGCAGTTGAATTAAAAAAACTAGAAGGCTGGTTGAAGAAATGACAGAAATATCTTACTGTCATTTCTTCAACATGCTTTAATATGTATAGATGAAACTGTGCATGCTCATTCACACAGAGACATGCAGAACATGCAGACGTCATATTTAGCACTTTTTGTGGTTTATTATTCTCAGACACTAGTTCATATCGCAATTTAATTTAGTGTACGGCCCTCCTTTCGATTTATTCTTCCAAGTTTCCCAAATTCTGTGACATTCTGTGTTATTCCATTTTTATGGATTGGATTCTGTAATTCTGCCCTACTAAATACCCTGCAAAGATTCATCATGTAAACCTAAAGAAAGGTCTGAATACTTAGTACAAGTTTGCTTAATGAAGCTGACATTGCTTTTCCCATTGGCAGTACAGTGAAAAGTGGTTCACACTGAAATATTGCTACATTTTGCTGGAAAAAGCATCGTAGAAACACTGACCCAAACCAAATAAATCTGGAGACACATGTATATGACTTATAATGAAGCAATTAAGCTCTGACATGTTTTATTAGTAATGGCTCCATGTGCGCATGTGTTGGCTTGCTGTGGATGTGTCCCAGGGCACCAATGCGTGTCACTATCATAGCAGATGATAAGCTTTGGGCTCGCCTTTGACCTCACACCTCATTAATCAACTGCTCGTGAATATCTGACCTCCTCCACCTACCTCTCAAACATGCCATCTAATTCAGCGCTAAAAGATACATAAAACTCGCCCATAGAACAGTTATTTTAATTTGTAATACTAGTTAATAATTTACAGTATTTTTGATCAAATAAATGCAGCTGTGAATATTCTGTATAGTAGGTTTCTTCACTTTTACCTCAGGTTTCCGTTTCCTCTGAGAAATTGAGTTAATTAGAGAGTTTCAAGGGCTGAGTGTTGTTGAGAGAGGATGTAGATATGATAGTCTATCATATCTGTCATGCCTGGCTTTTGGCCATGCTAATCGTCACTGTAAAACAAGCTGCTGAAAGGTTATGCTGCATATGAACTTTTCTCTGCTCTCTGTACTGAAACATTTGATAAATGGGCAGCTCCTTAAGATGCCTTTAGATGCCCCAGGCTGCTCTACATCCCACCATGTCATCGTTTGTTTATTGTGTACTGACAGCTGTAACTATGGCGATGCCCGTTTTTTGTGACTATGCAACAGCTGTTTTTTTAACCACCGATGTTTCAGCTGGAGGGACCAAGAATCCCCCACAACCAGGAATGTTAAAGTCGATGGTCTCCTGGAGGGCTTTTCTTCCATGACATCAAACTCGCCTAAATACCTCCACGTCATTGATTTGATATATTTTCAGTCCCACATCTGTGCGCTCTGATTTTAACTTGGTCTGGTGTGTCTTTAGGAATACTCCTGGTTAACTAGGAGTCGACCTCTGTCGACAGCATCTGTTCCGTGCTGTTTATTACCACTGAGAACAAGTTCAAATCAACCCCCAGTTTGTAAAAATAAAACAATAAACATGCTGACAGTTGTGTCAACATGTGCTTACAATGGAAATCTTTTGGGCAATTATCATATAGTGTGCAACAGATGCTGTCGATAGAGCTCAACTTGTATTTAAGCTGAAATATTCTCTTAACCTGCTATTTTGGGGGCAATTAGAGATGTACAATATACCAGTACTGTATTGGATATCAGCTGTCATTAGAGCACAATATTGTAAATATGACATTTAGAGGCTAATTTTGGATACTTAATTTTACACATTAATTTCCTCTATTTTTAAATATCAAAATTAATCTATTTTTCATACTGTACATTATAATGTTGTTATGCCTATAGATTCATATAGCATTTAAACATTTTATTGTATTATTTTATTATATTATTATTTTTTAGATGAAATCATGTAGAATTATGTAGAATTTTAATGACCCATTTAATAAGATTTTTTAAAATTAATACGTTTATTTAGTAATAATGCATTAAATTGTTCAAAAGTGGCAGAAAAATATAATTTATCATGGATTAAACAAAAAATTGAGCAGCACAGCTGTTTGCAATGTTAATAATAATAAGAAATGTTTCTTAAGCATCAAATCAGAATATTAGAATGATTTCTGAACTGTAACACTGGAGTAATAGCTTCTGAAAATCAGCTTTGCCATCACAGGAATAAATTACATTTTAAAGTTGAATAAAATAAAATAAAACATTTTCTTTTTAAGTAATTTAATTTAATTTAACTGTATTTTTGATCAAATAAATGCAGCCTTGGTGAACATAAGAGACCTCTTTCAAAAACATAAAAAAAATCTTGCTTACCCAAGTGTGTATCCGACATGCAGTCCAGCCTCAGTGTTTGTTATTGGTTGCCTACTCATAGCTTCCTCTTCCTCTGTACTCTGTAGTCAGGTCTGATCCGGTTCTCCGGCGAGGAACTTCTCATCACTCCGCTACCGCAGCATTTGGCTTTACAACACAACTACAGCGCCCCCTCTGGACATCACCCACATGTCATCTACAAGCGATCAGCTGAGCGCAGAGTGCACGCTGATAAGACTGACTGGTCCAGCAGTGTTAAATCAAACAACCCCTACGAGAGCCACCACCGTCATCACCACCACCTCCACCATCACCATGAGTACCAGCACGGAAAGCTCCAGAGACAACACTTCTGCGGACGCCGCAAGCAATGTATGTAAGGGAATTTCCTTTTAGCTATTTGTAGATGCAAAGTTCATTACACATTATATACTTGTAAAATATGTCAGAGTACGTATAACAGTAAAGCCCTCTGAGATATTTATACTGATTCCAAAAGCAAAACTACTGTGTCATTATTATCTGTTGTACTGAAAGAAATTGAATGAAAGCTTGGAAACAGCATGTGAAGTTAATGACTGTGTATTTCCTGGTCTGTCATCGCCTCTCTGGCGCTTTTATCAGGGAGCTAGCTTGGAAAAAGGAAAAACAGTTATTTGAGGCAATTTCCAGTTTTTCTCACCCTTTTTCATGAGTTTCCGTACTTTTATCTCTCCACCTCATCCTAACTACAGATACTCCCAAGCCTCCTACAGAGGATCATTTTGTCATGCCTGATGAGTTCGAGCAGCAAAGCCGGGTGAAGCGCTCAGAGATTACATCAAGCAAAGAGGGTGGCCTGAATGTGGAAACTCTGGTGGTGGCAGACAGGAAGATGCTGGAGAAACATGGCAGAGACAACGTCACTACCTATGTCCTTACTGTCATGAACATGGTGAGCAGAGCTATCAGCAGCATTGTTGAGGAGAAGACACCTTGTTGCAGCATATGACTGTTTACTTCTACCTTTACTTCTACCTATAGTAATGTGCAAAGTGTTTTTTTGCTAAACAGGTCTCCAGTCTATTCAAAGATGGAACTATTGGAAATGATATCAACATTGTTGTGGTCAGCCTCCTCCTACTTGAGAAAGATCCGGTAAGATACATACATACAAAAATATACACATTCTTTCATATATACTGTATATCTAAGGGTGTACTTACTCTAGGCGTTTTGAACTGTGCCTGAGCACGTTTGACTCCCAAAGCCCGGTTCCTTTGACTAGTGTGAGCGCTCCATACCTAACTACAGATACTCCCAAGCCTCCTACAGAGGATCATTTTGTCATGCCTGATGAGTTCGAGCAGCAAAGCCGGGTGAAGCGCTCAGAGATTACATCAAGCAAAGAGGGTGGCCTGAACGTGGAAACTCTGGTGGTGGCAGACAGGAAGATGCTGGAGAAACATGGCAGAGACAACGTCACTACCTATGTCCTTACTGTCATGAACATGGTGAGCAGAGCTATCAGCAGCATTGTTGAGGAGAAGACACCTTGTTGCAGCATATGACTGTTTACTTCTACCTTTACTTCTACCTATAGTAATGTGCAAAGTGTTTTTTTGCTAAACAGGTCTCCAGTCTATTCAAAGATGGAACTATTGGAAATGATATCAACATTGTTGTGGTCAGCCTCCTCCTACTTGAGAAAGATCCGGTAAGATACATACATACAAAAATATACACATTCTTTCATATATACTGTATATCTAAGGGTGTACTTACACTAGGCGTTTTGAACCGTGCCTGAGCACGTTTGACTCCCAAAGCCCGGTTCTTTTGACTAGTGTGAGCGCTCCATATGGTTCATTTAACCGCCCCTGGCTCACTTGGAAGAGGTGGGCCAGAGCACAGTTCAGTTGGGCTTGGTCGCGGTACGAATGTATTGTAATCGCTAACCACGCCGGAGCACAGAACAGCTACTATTTTGTGTGTGCTACTGTCATCATTACGACCGCAAACATATTCTACTACTACTACTATACTACATTTTTCAATTAATTAAATTAAATTAAGTATATTTAAGTTTATAACATCTGATTCCACCTTGTTGATGAACAAGAATTGTAGTTTGCGAGTAAAGCTGCAAATTCTTCATTAACGTCAGCTGTCGCCGTAATAATTCTCTGATACATACAAGTGAAAATCGCTGCATGGCATGAATTATAAATTTGTTAGGCAGAATCTTAGTGAAAGTGGTTTTTACCTTTACCTTGTACATGACGTAAGCGTGCTCCGGCTCGGAATGTTTAGTGCAAGTGTGAGTGTATGTTTTTAATCCAATAAAAATGACTCATCAGAGTCATTTGTTTGTGAATCAGAATATACCAGTCACTGCATGCTTTTTTATGATTCACTGCAAAGAATTGACTCTTAAGAGTCATTCATTCAGGAATCAGACTATACTGGTCGTGCTGTATGTTTTTGATTCATTAAAAAGAACTGATTTATAAGAGTCATTTGTTAGTGAGTCAAAATTAACTGGTTGCTGTAAATCTGGTTAATTTAAAATGAATTTGTTTGGGAATCAAATTATACTGGTCACACTGTATGTTTTTGATTCACTAAAGAACGGCTCACAAGAGCTTTTTGCTTCATAAATTGGATTAACACTGATAAATAAGCTGTATGTTGACATTTCTTGGCATTAACAGACATCAACAGACTCCAAAATATGATTAATTTTGCTTTTGCACTAAACAGTGCATGAAACACTGGTTGCACAGCTAGTTTATTCTCATTAAAGGTAAATTGAATGTCATATCTAGTTTTTGAAGTTTCCCAGACATTTTTTTTTCTTCATTTCTTTCATACTTGAAAGATGCCTGATCATTCACTACTCTGTCTTCTTTCTCTCACCACCCCTCTGAACACTTCAACTCTCTCGGCTTCACTGATGTCAGCTGGGTCTGTCTATCAACCACCACGCAGACCAATCACTCAACAGCTTCTGCCAGTGGCAATCAGGCCTGATAGGTAAAAACGGCAAGCGGCACGACCTGGTTAACTAGGGGTCGACCTCTGTCGACAGTATGTGTTCCGTGCTGTTTATTACCACTGAGAACAAGTTCAAATCAACCCCCAGTTTGTAAAAATAAAACAATAAACATGCTGACAGTTGTGTCAACATGTGCTTACAATGGAAATCTTTTGGGCAATTATCATATAGTGTGCAACAGATGCTGTCGATAGAGCTCAACTTGTATTTAAGCTGAAATATTCTCTTAACCTGCTATTTTGGGGGCAATTAGAGATGTACAATATACCAGTACTGTATTGGATATCAGCTGTCATTAGAGCACAATATTGTAAATATGACATTTAGAGGCTAATTTTGGATACTTAATTTTACACATTAATTTCCTCTATTTTTAAATATCAAAATTAATCTATTTTTCATACTGTACATTATAATGTTGTTATGCCTATAGATTCATATAGCATTTAAACATTTTATTGTATTATTTTATTATATTATTATTTTTTAGATGAAATCATGTAGAATTATGTAGAATTTTAATGACCCATTTAATAAGATTTTTTAAAATTAATACGTTTATTTAGTAATAATGCATTAAATTGTTCAAAAGTGGCAGAAAAATATAATTTATCATGGATTAAACAAAAAATTGAGCAGCACAGCTGTTTGCAATGTTAATAATAATAAGAAATGTTTCTTAAGCATCAAATCAGAATATTAGAATGATTTCTGAACTGTAACACTGGAGTAATAGCTTCTGAAAATCAGCTTTGCCATCACAGGAATAAATTACATTTTAAAGTTGAATAAAATAAAATAAAACATTTTCTTTTTAAGTAATTTAATTTAATTTAACTGTATTTTTGATCAAATAAATGCAGCCTTGGTGAACATAAGAGACCTCTTTCAAAAACATAAAAAAAATCTTGCTTACCCAAGTGTGTATCCGACATGCAGTCCAGCCTCAGTGTTTGTTATTGGTTGCCTACTCATAGCTTCCTCTTCCTCTGTACTCTGTAGTCAGGTCTGATCCGGTTCTCCGGCGAGGAACTTCTCATCACTCCGCTACCGCAGCATTTGGCTTTACAACACAACTACAGCGCCCCCTCTGGACATCACCCACATGTCATCTACAAGCGATCAGCTGAGCGCAGAGTGCACGCTGATAAGACTGACTGGTCCAGCAGTGTTAAATCAAACAACCCCTACGAGAGCCACCACCGTCATCACCACCACCTCCACCATCACCATGAGTACCAGCACGGAAAGCTCCAGAGACAACACTTCTGCGGACGCCGCAAGCAATGTATGTAAGGGAATTTCCTTTTAGCTATTTGTAGATGCAAAGTTCATTACACATTATATACTTGTAAAATATGTCAGAGTACGTATAACAGTAAAGCCCTCTGAGATATTTATACTGATTCCAAAAGCAAAACTACTGTGTCATTATTATCTGTTGTACTGAAAGAAATTGAATGAAAGCTTGGAAACAGCATGTGAAGTTAATGACTGTGTATTTCCTGGTCTGTCATCGCCTCTCTGGCGCTTTTATCAGGGAGCTAGCTTGGAAAAAGGAAAAACAGTTATTTGAGGCAATTTCCAGTTTTTCTCACCCTTTTTCATGAGTTTCCGTACTTTTATCTCTCCACCTCATCCTAACTACAGATACTCCCAAGCCTCCTACAGAGGAGCATTTTGTCATGCCTGATGAGTTTGAGCAGCAAAGCCGGGTGAAGCGCTCAGAGATTACATCAAGCAAAGAGGGTGGCCTGAACGTGGAAACTCTGGTGGTGGCAGACAGGAAGATGCTGGAGAAACATGGCAGAGACAACGTCACTACCTATGTCCTTACTGTCATGAACATGGTGAGCAGAGCTATCAGCAGCATTGTTGTTGAGAAGACACTTTGTTTCAGCATGTAACTCTTTACTTCTACCTTTACTTTTACCTATAGTAATGTGCACAGTGTTGTTGTGCTAAACAGGTCTCCAGTCTGTTCAAAGATGGAACTATTGGAAATGATATCAACATTGTTGTGGTCAGCCTCCTCCTACTTGAGAAAGATCCGGTAAGATACATACATACAAAAATATACACATTCTTTCATATATACTGTATATCTAAGGGTGTACTTACTCTAGGCGTTTTGAACTGTGCCTGAGCACGTTTGACTCCCAAAGCCCGGTTCTTTTGACTAGTGTGAGCGCTCCATATGGTTCATTTAACCGCCCCTGGCTCACTTGGAAGAGGTGGGCCAGAGCACAGTTCAGTTGGGCTTGGTCGCGGTACGAATGTATTGTAATCGCTAACCACGCCGGAGCACAGAACAGCTACTATTTTGTGTGTGCTACTGTCATCATTACGACCGCAAACATATTCTACTACTACTACTATACTACATTTTTCAATTAATTTAATTAAATTAAGTATATTTAAGTTTATAACATCTGATTCTCACC